CAGGGCATAGTTCTAGCTGCTCAGTCAAATTATGTTCCAAATAGGGAAATCAGATCAAACAAAAATGATCCTAAATGGATGAACAATAGATTAAAATATCTGATTGGTCAAAAGAGAGGCATACATAGGCAAATCAAAAGAGGAGAGGGGCAATTGAGAAATCGATATATTCAGTTAAAGAGAGAAATAAAAAAAGGGAATTAGAAAAGCAAAAAGAGATTATGAGGTTAAAGTTGCAAGAGAATCGAAGACTAACCCAAAAGGATTCTTTCAGGTATACAGAAGTAAGATCAGGGACAAGATAGGCCCACTCAAAAGTTCCTCGGGTCAGCTCACTGACAGTGATAAGGAAATGTGTAGAATTTTTAACACATACTTCCTCTCAGTTTTTACACAGGAGGATACCAGCGATATTCCAGTAATGATAAATTATGTAGAACAGGACGATAATAAACTGTGCACTATTAGGGTCACAAGTGACATGGTCCTTAGGCAAATAGATAAATTTTAAAAACCCAACAAATCCCCCGGCCCTGATGAAAATGTATGCAAGGGGCTAAAGGAATGTAAAGAGGAGCTTAGCACACTTTGGGTAATCTTTTCAACATATCACTACAAACTGGCATGGTGCCCGATAAGTGGAAAAAAGGCAAATGTGATACCTATTTCAAAACAGGTGACAGGTCCTTGCTTCGAACTATAGACCAATAAGCCTAACCTCCATAGTGGGAAATTTATGGAATCAATAATTGCCGAGGCAGTTCGTAGCCACCTTGAAAAGCATAAATTAATCAACGAATTCAGCATGGTTTTACAAAGGGGCTTTCCCTGCCTTACGAATTTAAAAACTTTTTTCATAAGGATTTGGGAGGTAGATGTGGAAATGAATAGATATTGTGTATATGGCTTCATAAGGCTTTTAAAGGGGCCCACATCAGAGACTATTAGGAAAAATTTAAAAGCACAGGGAAATAGGAGGAGAATTTTTTCCGGGATAGAGGCATGGTTGACAAATGGCAGCAGAGAGTTTCATAAATGGGGAGAAATTAGATGGGGAAGCGTCAGAGGGGGTGTTCCACGGGGGTCGTGTTGGGCCCCCTGCTTTTCAAAATCACATAAACGACTAGATGAGGGATAAAGAGCGAATGGCAAGTTTGCCGATGACCCCAAAATAGGCCTTTTTAAATTTCATTCTGACGAGGACATTCGAGCATCCAGGAAGATTTGAATAGACGTGCATGGTCGGAGAAGGGAAAAGATGCATTTTAAATTAGACAATGCAAAGTTCAAATGTTGGACAGGCAATAACCAGCCAATATAAACTAAATAATGTAGTCTTAATATTAGGATTGCAAAAAAGATTTAGGAGTTCGGTTGCAGTAACTGAAACCAAAAAAAAAACAGTGCATAAATGTTTGCAATAAAGCTAAAGAATCCTTTGGGCTTCAATCAAGAACAAAAATAAAGGAGCCTCGGTTGTTTTTCAACTCTATCATCCTTGGTTTAGGCCTCATTTAGTTTAGCCACAGTTTTGGTCACCGATTACAGAATGGATAAAAATTCCTGAAAATGTAAAAAGGGGGATGAAAAATTTTGATCCCATGTATCAAAAACCCTTTCCCATGAGGATAGACAAGGCCCTGAAACTGCACCTCTAAAAGACCTAGAATTAGGGGGGATTGTTTGAAGTGAAAAATGGAAGACGGAATAAAAAAAGGGGGATGAAATAGTGTGCGAAAAATCTACCCGACAGGACCGCACAATGGTTTTAATTTGGAAAAAATTTCAGATTCGGGAAGGGATATGGGAAATACGGGTTTGGGGTAATAGAGTTGTGGATGAGTGGAACAAACCCCAAGTCCCTTTATAGGGCCAAAACGTGGTAGCTTAAAAATGGGTTTTGGATAAATACATGAGTAGAATGGGGGGGTGTGAGTTAACCTGAAGCTTGTGCAAACCAGTCGTTGCCTGTTCCCCCTTTTAAGTCAATGTGACCTGACCTGACAGTTGGGTGCATTGGTTTAAACCCGGGTAGGAGACTTGGACCTGCCTCGCAGGGGCCATAGGCCTTCGCTGTTCCATCGTTCTTATTTCTTAGTTCTTATTTTAACAAAATGTTGAAAACTATGTTAATAATAATACAGTTGTCAGGGGTTATAAAAATACAGACTTCAATGTATACGGATTATAGTAGTCCTGTGTATACCAGATATACTGTGGTAACAGAAATGTTGGTCTCTATGTTATAAAAACAGATTTAATTTTTTGCATACAGGTGGCCCTTGACTTAGATGCAAGTCGGAAACCAAATCTGTGAATGGGGGCACTATTGTATTATTGTGTTAACACCGATTTTTGGACAAGCTAGCAACTAATGCATGATTAAAAATACAATTAATTAAAATGAAGGTCAGGGAGGGGTAAGGGGGGTTTTTGGGGCCCATGGGCTTGGACTTCCAGCAAGCGGCTGAGCAGTTAGGAGCAAATGGAGACAAGTAGTTTTAGAACTTTGACTGCTTTTGGGAGTGTAGAAAGGAACTTTTACAAGGGGTTTCGGGGAAACCAGCAGGCCCACTTGAGTCCTGGAGATGAGAATCTCACTCTGAAGGAGGGGGTTTAATTTTGCGTTTTAAACATAGTGTAAGTGCCCCTTTTGCAAACAGTGATGGAGTGAATGATGAAATTTTTTTTTTTTTTTTTTTCGGCCACCCTCCTTTGGGGGGAGACGGCCGATGTGTAAAAAAAAAAAATTTGCTGTCCAAGTAAATAAACAAAAATTTTACTGAACCAGTTACCAGTACAGTTTTGGAAAGTCAATAAATACAATTTATGGACTTGCAGTCTTCATGCGGAAATTTTACTAACCCCTTTAAACGGTCCAAACGTATATATACTTTTCACTCGCGAGCGCCCCAAATTTTTGAAAAAAAAAAAAACTTTTTTTTAAAAAGGAAAAAGGAGCTTTTGGTACCCAGCATCCCAATTATTTTAATATGGTGCACAGTGATGTGCAACCCATTCCTCATGTCGGGTACTCAGGCTTTTGTGGCAAGTTGAATGAAACAAAGAAAATGTAATAACGTTTGGGGGGTACGCCATGAACATATATATACTTTGGATCGTTTTAAAGGGTTTTAAATTCACCCAAAGAATTGGTGCTGTACCATCGTAAATTGAAAATTGTAAGTCAAGGAACGCCTTACTTTAAAAATTTTTTAAAGGGTTTTTCATTTTTAAAGTTAAAAATTTGACCTGTAATTTTTTTTTTTTGTTTTGTTTTAGGGTTAAACTGCCAAACTAGCCGAGGGATGGGGCAAACCATGACGACAAGAAATATGTCGGGAAAATTTTGACACCCAGCAATAGAGCCGTTTACCACCGATTATCCAGTCTGGGGAAAATTTTGCCCTCAATTTTAGTGTACCAGGTACCTGGGAAAAGTAGTTACTTTTTTCATTATTAAGCGCCCTGGAAATCCTTGTCCACTCTGGAAATCCTTTTCCACTGCTGAAATCCTTGTCCTCCGGAAATCTTCGTCCTTCCCGGGAAAACTTTTGTTCCTCCTGAAACTTCGTCCCTCCCGGAAACCCTTTTCCCTGTCCTGGAAGGGAATTTTCACTTCAGGAAATTTTTTTTAACCTGGTTTTCCATCCCGTAATTCGGAGGTGGAAGTACAGTGCCTGTACTCTGAAGGATGATGAGGGTTTATAGCCTGGGGGTGGGAATACATGCCCCTCCTGAAGGAGATGAGGATGTTATAGTCCTGGGGGGGGGAAATACAGTGCCTTACTCTGAAGGATATGAAGATGTTACAGTTCTGGGGGGGGAATACAGGGCCCGTCCTGAAGGATGATAAATGTTTCAGTTCTGGGGGGGGGAATACAGGCCTTACTTGAAGGTGAGTGAAATGTTACAGTTCTGGGGGGGGGAATACAGTGCCTTTCCGAAGGGTGATGAAGATGTTACGTTCTGGGGGGGGGAAAACAGTGCCTGTACTCTGAAGTTTGAGTGAAGATGTTACAGTTCGGGGGGGGAAGTACAGTGCCCGTACTCTGAAGGGTGAGGAAAATGTACAGTTTTTGGGGGGGGGAATACAGTGCCTGACCTAAGGTGATGAAGATGTTACAGTTCTGGGGGGGGGAAGTACAGTGCCTTACCTGAAGGGTGAGTGAAGATTTACAGTTTTTTGGGGGGGGGGAAGTACGTCCGTACCTAAAGGGGAATAAAAAAATTAAGTTTTGGGGGGGGGAAATACAGTGCCTGACTTGAAGGGTGAATAAAAATGTTTAGTTCTGGGGTGGGAAGTACAGTGCCCGTCTCTAAGAAATGAAGGTTACTGATGGGGTAGTGATGATGAAAGTGTTTCTTTTATTTTTGGGGGCACCCTCCTCATGGGAAATGAGCAGCATGTAAAAAAAAAAAGTAATTTGAGCCCCAGAATGAACCCAAATCATAAATTAAGTTTATTGTACCAAAAATTTGTTATATACAATTCAGAATTTCTATTCTTGACTCCTTCATTTCTCATGACGTGTACATATATATAAAAATTTTGTTTTTCCTTTAGCCTGCCCAAAATGCTCTGCAGTTTAGTCACTTATTAGTATATATTATTATTGTAATAAAGTTGGTAGAATTACCGACAATATGTAAAGTAAAAGGACACAAGTGCAACTAATGTGACATTTTATTGTTGCAACGTTTCGCTCTCCAGGAGCTTTGTCAAGCCATTACTGGCTTTATCAAGCCAGTAATGGCTTGATAAAGCTCCTGGAGAGCGAAACGGTGCCACAATAGTTGCACTTGTGTCCTGTTACTTTATATATATTATTATTGCTATTATTTATTGTTGTTATTTAATATTATTGATATTTTTTATTATTACTCATTTTTTATGTATTATAGTTACATATTAATTATTTATTATGATTATGTTTATTATGATTATGGTAATTATGATTATTATGAGTGTGACTATTATGATTATTATTCTTCAGAAATAGCAATAATGGTTGTTTACAGTGATAAAAATGCGATGCACTTCGGAGCCATCGTGTGTTGTATGGGGGTGCGGTACAAGAATTATTGTTCCAACATCTGTCGTACCTTCATGGTCAATCCTCCGGAGAAAATGCAGCAAAATTACGAGCTGCTCTTGGAACTCTTCGACAAGTTAATCAACACACTCAAGGTCAGTCGCAGTTTTGATTTTTGTTTTTGTTTTTCTGTGTTTTTCGTATATGTTTTAGTTAGGGTTCTTTTTTCGTTTTCTGTGTTTCCACATACGTTTTAGTAGTCGCTCTTTTTCTTTTCCTGCATTTCCACACGTTTTAGTAGCTATCGTGTTCTCTGTGATTTGTTTTTATATGATTTTGATAATGGTATCATGGTTATTCCTTACGTAGCAGCATGGAAATGTGTTAGGCAAATATTTTTGTTAGTGGGTTTGGGTTTGACAAGGACCTACCTAGTATGGGCCAGTAGGCCTTCTACAGTGTTCCTCCTTATTTATGTTCTTGTTAACCCTTGCAGTGCCGAAACCCCTGTTCTCAAACTTGCTCTCAGGGTCAAAGAATTTAAAAAAAAAAGATGTCGTGAAATGATAGAGAATTGTTTCCTAAGGTAATGACTCCAAAAGTACAGTGGACCCCGCATAACGATCACCTCCGAATGCGACCAATTATGTAAGTGTATTTATGTAAGTGCGTTTGTACGTGTATGTTTGGGGGTCTGAAATGGACTAATCTACTTCACAATATTCCTTATGGGAACAAATTTGGTCAGTACTGGCACCTGAACATACTTCTGGAGTGAAAAAATATCGTTAACCGGGGGTCCACTGTACTAAATTTGATGGAAAACTTATGGAATTATGATCTTGCAGAGTTAGTGGTCTAGGTGATATTTATGCATTGGTGATTTCACCCACTTGGTCCCTATTTTGGACCAATTCCATTGTTCCAGTCGATTAAACTCGGCTATTTCGCTAGAACTCCTTTCATTCTGTTGATTGATTACAAGAAACCACCTATTTACCTATTTCAACTACCAAGTGATCTGAAATTACTAATTTGGCCAATTTCACACAAAATTCATGAAAGGCCAATTTCAAAATAGGGTCCAGAATAAACAATGCAGATATTCCTGGCACTAAAATAACATTTTCTCTGTTCATTAGTCACATCTCCAGGCCCCTCTTATATTACTCTTGCTTTCTGTTTTGATTTTTAATTCACAGAAAAAATAGATTTACTGTTATTCAGACTACTGCATTATTGTAATATTTGTATAAATATGTAATATCAGTGCATTCGTTAATGCATATTAGACCCACCATTTGACGTGCATTGGACGCTTAACATGATTTGTTTACTCTTGAACATCAGCAAAAGTCAAACATTTTTGCTACTTTGAGCTCAGTTTCAAGCTCTTTTTGGCCCAAAATAATATGTCTTCCATTCTATCAAATGAGACCAAGAAACTGAGAATACAGCAATAAGAACCATTGGAAAATGCACTGCCAAGTCGCTGTTTTAAACCAAAAACATGGCTGCAGTTTTTTTCTCATGCACTGTGTGCTGAGTAATTTTTTTTTATATGGCGCACACTTAGTGCCTAGACCCATTCTCTCATATGTAGGCCCAAATTTACCACTCGCAGCTTATTTGAGTGAGCTGAGCTCACGGTGTTGTACTACTGGACCGACCCTGGCTTCAAAGCCAGGGTCGGTCCAGTAGTATAATAACAAAATCTAATAATTTCATGAATTTTTTTCATTGACATTTATGTATAAAACATATTCCAGTAATATTTTGTGAAGGGATTCAGGGAAACTGGTCAGCCAGACTTGAGTCCTGGAGGTGGGAAGTACAGTGCCTGTACTCTGAAGTTCTGAAGAGTGGAGATATTTTCTGTTTAGAGTGACATCTAAACTGTCATGTCTGTATACCTCTGGCAAGTCAGTGATGTGTGAATGATGGTGAAAGTGTTTCTTCTTTTTCAAGTCACCGTGCCTTGATGGGAGATGGCCAGGGTGTTAAAAAAAAAATAGTATCAGTATCATGGTTTAGGAATAGCATTAAGTACCATGGTACAAAAAAATCAAGAGAGTATGGAACATAATCGTTCATGAACACAATGTACTTAAACAGTGATGATAGCAGGGCTGTGGAGTCATGAAGTCAGAGTGGGAAGCAATTCTTGGGTTACTGGAGTCAGTAAAATGTAATTAAAGGAGTCTGAGGTGCTATAAATAAAGGAGTCAGAGTTGAATGTTTTATGTGCTGACTCCTCAGCGCTGGATGATCAGGATGATGCTCTTGAGTATGGTGATGATGCCAAAAGTGCAGCAATCCCCGTTCAGCTTCCAGCAATGTAAGAAAGAAGCCCATGACTCTTGCCTTCAAAGCTTGCCTTTTAACTGGCTGTCAAGATGCCGAAAAATGCTTAAAAATAAAGGTCCTGAAGATAAAGACGTACAAACTATGCTATTTGCTCTTAAGTGCCTTGCAACCACTGTAGTCTATGCATAATGTTTTACCATCTTATGAGCAAGAGATTGTATTAACTCACTACAATGGGGAGGATACACTACAAATCTTTTCATGGAACAGTGCTTCCATCAGGAAGCGTTGGCCTGGACTTACATCATATTAGTGCATCAAGAATATTGATGTCATCTGTTTGCAGGAATGTAGTTGAATATGGAGCACCTCCACCAAACTTGCCTGGATATTGCAGCTTTTACCTAAGGTCAACCATCTGTTGTGTGATGTATGCTCAGAAAGAAACTTGCCAACATTCATCCTTTCCTTGCAGGTCGAGTTAACATGCAGTATCATGGTTCAGAGTATATGCAGGCGATTTTTCATAAACAATTTTAATTCTCTATGCCCCAGCGAACCAGCTTTCGACCTGTTGCTTTACCAGATCACATCAAATGTGAACCTACCATCATTCTTGGAGATTTTATATGCCAGACATAAGAATATGGTGGGTCTATGACAAACACCAATGGAAACTACAACTAGGTGACAATTGCATAATGAGCATGATAATGTTCGAATTGTGGGCACTACTGAGCCTAATACAATATATGGTGGCATTACTTGATCAGTGCCTTTGGATTTAATTATTCATATACGATGCATGACTCTGTCTTAGTTGATGATCTTCTATTGATCACTCCCCCAAGACTAACAAACTGTCAATTCTTGATCACATCTTCCAGCAATCAAGGAGCTAAATTACAGAAGAAGAAACTTATTCTCAAACCAGTAACACAGAGAATCATTATTTACCACTTGGATCAATGGTATAGAATTACGAGCCCTTTGGCACTCAAAATTTTTTGATGATTTAATTACCCACTATTGAGAGTGTCTCACAGATCAAGTGGGCAGGAATAGGAAAACAAAGACCCTCCACTATAAATAAACAAAAAAAAAAAACAATGTAAATACTATAATGATCCCAGCTACGCAATACTAACCAATGCAGCAGCTTGGAGGATTGGTAAAGCATAAGTGAATGTAGAACCCAGACCTGCTCACGACGGGCCAAGCTGCATATACAAATGCAAGGATAGAAAGCAAGAACTTAGGCAACAGTATGGGAAACAGTTTGTTAGTGGTTAAATAGGTCAACCCCTTTAAGTTTGGCTTGGGGAAAGGTATAAATAAAATAACAGGAAAAATGACTAAGCAAGTTGATCATCCCCTTTCCTCTTGAAAAAGCAAATGACCTAATAAATGGATCTGCGTTCAAAACATCCAGGCATGAAAACCTTCATATCATATTAGAATAAATTTAGAGAGTACTTATGAAGAAATTGTTGAAACTGATTAATTTTATGAGCAAAAAATATTGATGAGAGTGATTGCCTCTTTACGAGTATGAATTAGATAATGCATTAACTAAAGGTCGATCCAACTGACTCCTGGATGAAGGATGGTTATAACCTATGATATTCTCAGAACTCTAAGGCACGTGCATGATAACTTTGTGGCATGTATAATCTCAAGTTACATTGAGGGTGATTCTTCCTACTTTCCTGGACCAATAGTCTCATTGTGCCTATCCTAAGCCCCAACAGGCCTGATTTCATTTTAGGCCGATCTCCTTATACTTGTTGTCTCTGTTAAAACTTTTGAAAGATTGATACGTAACAGACTGTACTACAGAATCAGGACATCAACTATGTCCACACTACCTTATGGGTATTCATGAAAGGTAAAAGTGTGCAGAACTGTATTTCCACCTTTCTCAATGCACACACCTCTACTAGTTTTACCACTTTTCTTGATTAAATATTGCATTTGATATTGCGAACAGAGCCGTTATAATACATGAACTTAGCAAAATGAATATGGTGGTAGCTTACTCTGCTGGATAATAGGATAACTGTCAAATAGAGTATCTCTCTGTCCTTTACAAGGCTTCAGAAGTGATTCTATGGAAATGTCTTTAGGTACACCGCAGGGAAGGAGTTCTGAGTACCATGCTATTTAATATTCTGACTAATGCCTCTAAATTGCTCTACCTGGCCTCACCTAAAATTAGCTATAAGCTATGCTGATGATATCATGATCCATACAAACAGGGCATAAGAAGATGCATTACCATTCTTAATGAAGTTCAAGCAATTGTAATCGACTAGCCTCATAATATCTCCTATAAAACAAAGATATTATCAAGCTATCGACATCCCCCACCCATCTGTTTGCAGGTGAATCATTAGCTACGTTTAAACTTTCCCAGATATCGTGGTGAGATGTACCTTTACAAAATCCACTGTACAACATACTAACAAGAAATGAAAGTAGGCTAAATGCTCTCAAGAAGCTGTTGATGGCTTACAATCCAAAACCCTATGGTGCTAATTTGAGAATCGTGAGAATGATGTCATAGCCTATGTTAGGGTCCTTTAAATGATTATGTGCTCCCATGGTTGGATATTAGCTAGAGAAAGTTCTTCCGACCCTGGGTGTTATGCAAATGAAGTCTCAGGATTATTCTTGGCTGTCAGATTACAAAAGTTCTTAACTGAGCAGAAGAGAGCTTGGTATTTCTAGTCTTCAGTTGATTTATAGGATTATTGAGATTAACACTGTACCTGGTATTAGAATGTGAGAAACGAACCAGACACTGTCACAATGAATTCTTACCTAAGTGTCTGAGGTAAATACACAC